AGTTACCAGTCCAGAAGCTCTAAACTCCCTGTATTTTTTTTTGAATGGAGTTTCACTCTGTGTTGCCCAGGGCTGGGAGTGCATATGGCACCGATCCTTTGCTCAATGCACACCTCTCCCTCCTGGGTTCAAGTGATTCTCGCTGGCTTTAGCCTCCTGAGTAGCTGGGATTACAGGCAGCTGCCCGCCGTGCCCTAATTTTGTAATTTTTGTTGGTAGAGATGGGGTTTCAGCATGTGTGGCCAGGCTGGTCTTGAATAGCCTGACCTCATGGTACGCACCTTGCCTCGCTCTCCGCTGCCTCCCAAAGTGCTGGGATTACAGGCATGAGCTACCACGCCCCACTGGGAACCCTAAACTTTTAACTCAAAACCAACAAACAGGCCAGGCGCGGTGGCTCATGCCTATAATCCCAGCACTTTGGGAGGCCAAGGCGGGTGGATCATTTGAGCTCAGGAGTTCAACCCTGTCTCTACTAAAAATACAAAAATTAGCTGGGCATGGTGGTTCGCACCTATAATCCCAGCTTCTCGTGAGGCTGAGGCAGGAGAATGGCTTGAACTCAGGAGGTGGAGGCGGCAGGGTGCCAAGATTGTACCGCTACACTCCAGCCTGGGAGACAGAACGAGACTCTATCTCAAAAAACAAAACAAAAACAAACAAAAAACCAACAAACATTTAAAAAAAAAAAAAAAACTTCCAAACCCCAAGTATTTTCATCCTTCCTACCTCATCCTGGCTTATGCTCTTTCATGCCTCCTGCAAACATGGCTCCTTCAAATGGCACCGGCATGCTCCACTCTTCGCAACTGAGAGCAGATGAGTGGCATGGGCCAGGCACTGCTAACCCCAAGCACTCCACAACTTTGGTTCTGCAGCTGCTTGCCGAAAGGACAACCATGGAAAGACAAGCTGTCACAAGACAGCACCGTTTTGATACAATCATCTGAAACTGAAGAGGCAGGGCAGTGACAACAGCGCCCTGTACCATAAACTGCAGGTCAGAAACAGGGCTAAAGAGGGGGTAAAAAACAGTCTCGAACCAGCACAGATCATCATCACAGTGCCTGAAACCAACCAAAAGAAATGTTGGTGCTGGGTGCAGTGGCTCACGCCGGTAATCCCAACATTTTGGGAGGCTGAGGTAGGCGGATCACTTGAGGCCGGGAGTTCAAGACCAGCCTGGCCAACATGGTAAAACCCCATCTCTACTAAAAATATGAAAATTAGCCGGGCGTCATGGTATGTGCCTGTAGTCCCAGCTACTCGGGAGGCTGAGGGAGGAGAATCGCTTGTTTCCGAGAGGTGGAGGTTGCAGTGAGCCAAGATTGTGCCACCGCACTCCAGCCTAGGCAACAGAGTGAGACTCTGTCTCAAAAAAAAAACAAACAAAAAAAAGTATACGTCAGCCAAGTGGGGTAAGCTCATTGCCTGTAATCTCAGTGCTTTGGAAGGCTGAGGCCAGAGGATCGTTTGACCTGGAGGCTGAGACTAGAGTGAGCTATCAATCCTGCCACTGTCTCAGCCTGGGTACAGAGCAAGACCCTGGATTCAATGTGATCTTGTGCATTCATGCACACTGCAAGCCCCACTAAAGGGTCCATTTGTTTCCTCCACAATAGGGGCCCTAAGAGGGTACGTCTTCCCCTCCACA